CCACTCCCTGTCAGGGTCTGCCCACTGCTTCCATCCAAACTTACAGCGCCGGCTGCCTCCTGCAGAACCTGCTAACTGCTTCCCAGGTTGCTCCTGCCAAGGTACCTGCTGAGCGCTCTGCTGCCACCTCCAGTGGGCAGTTTCCCACTCACCTGCTTCTGGTTCTCTGCAGCATTTGATAAAGTTAAGAACCCCTCCTTTTAAAACCCTCTCACTACTGGACTTCAGAACCCAACACTGCCTCTTACGCTGCCTCCAGTCTGTCCTGGGGCTTCTCTCCTCCTCTCTGTGTTCTGTTCCTAGGCTGCTCACACAGTCTCACGGTTCTGAAGACCATTTATAAACTCTATGCCGATGACTCCCAAATTTAAACCTTTAATCCCCAAATCCAGAGAAGCACATACATACATTGCCTATTTGACCTTTCCAAAGAATGCCACATTTAATATAAGCAGAAAGGAACTCTTGATATTTTTCCTCTCTGAACTTGCTTCTCTTGGGTTTTCCTCATTCAGTACCTCCACTCTGCTGCTCAACACCGAAAGAAGTAATCTTGATCTCTCTCTTTCCCAAACCAGTCCATCACCAAACTGAATTCATCCACTTGACTCCATCCTCAAGGCAACCACTCTGGTGCAAACCCCCCTCACCAAGTTCCTTCTTGTCTCCCCTTATCCATTCTGCCCTCTTCCACAGGGAAGCTGGAACCATCTTTTAAAAGGATACATAGATAGTGCCATTATTCAACAGTTTTCCACTGCATTTGAACAAAATCCGAACTCTTTCCGTAGCCTCCAAGGGTTGACAAGCCCCAGCCCCACCTGCGTCTCTACCCTCCATCTTGTGCTGCTTTCTGGTTGGTTTATTTCTGTACTAAGGCCACCATCCTTCTCTCAGCTCCTTGACCACACCAAACCTCCTCCCTCCTTGGGGATGCTCCTACTCTGGTTCTTTGCACGGTTGTCCTTCAGCTCTTAACTTAAATGCTACCTGTGTAGGGAGTCTTCTCTGACTTCCCAAAAGAAAGGTGGTTCCACATCCCCTCCCCATCCCATTATTCTCTTTCAGGGCGGCTTGTCCATTTTTTTCTTTTAACACGCCATTTTGTAATTATTTGTAGGTTTACTTTTTAAAAATTTATGGTTTGATGCCAACCCCATTCCTCTGTACTGGAGGCTCTGTGTCATTTTTACACAGTATTGTCAAGACTCAACACAATGCCTAAGCATATATTAGGTGCTCAAAAAATATTCAATGACTGAATGAATAAAATGCACTTAAGTATTTCATTTCTTTGTATAACATGATTTCCCTTTTTTTGGTAATCAATTCAGGGATTGGCCTTCTAACAACATCTAAAACATTTGCAATTTATTTTTGAAATTCAGATTTTTCTGAAATATTCCGATCTCGGGTGTGGTTATAACTCAAATATTTGTATATTTTACTAAGGAGCTACATTTCTTTTGAGAATTATTCTTTAAGTCTAGCATTGTCAGAGACAATATACCTGCGGATTCCTTTTGGTGTTTCTCCAATTATGAAGGTGGTCTGGTCTGTACGGTAGACTTTTTTCTTCTTCTGGCTTACAGGGTGTGAAATATAAAGAGGAAGTGAAATGCTGCCTTCACTCGGTTGCTGGCCTTTCTTTGTGTGTGGCAATGTATCTGCATCTGCTTTTTCTTTATATGTCTGAAAAAAAGAAAGGAACCAAAAGCTATGTCTGAAAAGATGGTTATGGTTGGTCAAATAATTAGAATGTCTTACTTTTTCCCAGTACTCTTTATAATGAAGTAAATCATATTCTCTAACTGAAATCATTGTCAGAAGATGTTAACCTAGATCTTTAAAAAGATGACACAGGCAAAAGTTTTTTTTTTTTTTAACCTTTCTTTAAGCTATAAAAGTAATGGCAATAATATGATATTTTCATTGTCAAGACTGTGGGCATACTGATACATATGTTGATCTACTATACCAAAGGATAAACATTAATGATTATATACACAATACAGCTAGTGCTCGACTTACGACCACGATTGGTTCCGACAGACCGGTCATAACACGATTTGGTCGCAAGTTGAGTAGGCTATATGCATGAGGGGATGGTAGTGCTGCCGGAAGCTGGTCCGCACTGTCGTAACGCCCAGCTGGGCAACGTTTGCGCTGCCAGACGCAGAGCAGTCATGGCTAGCGATTGTGGTCGTAAAGTCGAATGGTCGTAAGTTGCATAGGTCGTAAGTCAATCTATACCTGTAGTGTAAACATGTGTCCTGGGGCTTCTCCTCTCTCTGTGCTCTCTTCCTAGGCTGCTCACACAGGCTTGTTTGTGAGAGCAAGATAATTTTCTAGTTTAGTAATTGCAAAATGTTCTAATTTAGTAATTGCAAAATTAATAAGCAGTCTTTCAGTCATCTGATTTCATATAATAGATAAATGTAAATAATAAGTAAGAAACCATAAATCATACATTTCAACCTCTACTGGGTTGTTAGAATATTTAGTGATTTTGAGATGCTAACTACAGTTGGTTAAATTATGGATGGAATCACACTCCTTTTACAGATACTATGGATTGCCTGCCTAACATAAATTTTACCGACAGTGAGCCAAGAAAAAAAAATATTCCCAGTTTTCTTGACAAGATGGTATGGTATAAATACATAGAAAGTCCTCATTCTATTCCAAAAAGAGAAATAGTGGATACAATTTAACAATGACAACAACAAAATTACACTGGAGCTCAAAAGCAAGAAAACAGAATGTCTAGGTTCCTCAAATGAGGAAGTCCCACAGTGGTGAGTGGGAGCTGAAGCTCAGCAGCCCTAGGGGTAGGGCCTTAAGTTACAGTCTACAGCACCCATGTGTAGAGGGGAGATGGAAATGGTTTAACTCCCGGCACTAAACAACAAAGAAACACGAAACACAACAGGAATGAGAAGGAGTCTGATATGCAAATTAAAGCCAGGAAAGCCAAACCTGGGACAACACAGGCTAAAAGCAGGCCACTTTCTTACTCTAGATAGAATCACTGGTGACAAATAGGAATGCCCAGCTGGTGCCATGTGTGGAATCTGATTTTGTACCATTTGATAGTATGGAAACTCTAAGCTGAAAATCAACATAAGAAATGTGTCCAGAACTAGTGAAAACCATAGATCTCAATGGGGGGCTGAATAAAAAATACACCATAGGAAGACTACCATAATCCAGAGAATGCTTTTGATTCCAATGAAAACAGGAGGAGTTCAGATAAAAATTATAAATAACATATAAAACCTACCATCATGAAAGTGAGCACATGTAACAAGTATAAAAAATGAAATCTGAGGAATTATCTATAATAAAGCAATCTGAGAGAGGTATTTATTTATGAATGAATGAATGAATAAATGAATGACAGAGTCTTGTTCTGTCACTCAAGCTGGAGTGCTGTGGCATGATCACAGCTCACTACAGTTGATAAATTGGAAGAAAAAATTACTCAGAATGAAGTGCAGAGATTAAAAAAATTAGTAAAGTTAAGAGACAGAAGACACACCAAAGTTTCTAAAATGCTAAAAGGAGAAAATGGAAGAGATAATGCCAAAGAGATGATAGCAGAGACCTATAAAAGAAAGGAAACCTCAAACTGAAAAAAGAAAAAAATTCCTAGTAGGAAAAATAAAAATAAATCTGTATTTTGTTATATCACAGATAAAGGTCATACCTTAAAAATTACCAGAGAAAGAGGATAAGACATCCTACAAAGAAATGCCAAACTAGGCCAGGCATAGCAGCTCACACCTGTAATTCCAGCACTTTGGGAGGCTGAGGCAGGCAGATTGCTTTCAGTCCAGGAGTTCAAGATCAGCTGGGCAATGTGGCAAAACCTTTCCTCTAAAAAAAAAATTCAAAAACTAGCTTGGTGTGGTGGTGTGGCCCTGTAGTCCAGCTACTCCAGAGGCTGAGGTGGGAGGATTGCTTGAGCCCAGGAAGTGGAAGTTGCAGGGAGCCAAAAGCGTGTCACTGCAGTCCACCCTGGGTGACAGAGCCAAATTCTGTCTCAGGAAAGAAGAAGAAGAAGAAAAAAAAGCCAAACTAACATCAGGCTTCTCATTAACATCATAATCATATCCATCAGAAGAAAATGGGGTATCTTCAACATGCAGAGAAGAAAAAACCTGTCAACCTAGAATTCTATACCCAGTTAAACTATCATGTAAGGAATTTTCAGACATACAAAGACTACCAGAATTCATTAGATTCTTCACACACACACACACACACACACACAGGTCTTGCTCTTTTGCACAGTCTAGAGTGCAATGGTGCAATCATAGCTCACTGCAGTCTCAAACTCCTGGGCTCAAGTGATCCTTCCACCTTAGACTCCTGAGTAGTGGGGACTACAGGCACGAGCCCACAGGCCAAGCTAATTTTTCTATTGTTTTATAGAGATGGGGTCTTATTATGTTACCCAGGTTGGCATAGGTAACATAGCAAGACCCTGGGCTCAAAAGTGATTCTCCTGCCTCAACCTCCAAAAGTGTTGAGATTATGGACTGAGCCACTGTACCTGGTCTTTTTTTTTTTTTTTAAAAGAAGTTGAGTGGAATTGAAGTGGTGATACATTCAATGAACGTGGGCAAGGAATGGCTTTTAATTCAACAAATATTTACTAAGCACCTATTAGGTTCCTGCCACCATGCTATGCATTTGAGATACAAAGATATTTATACTTACACAGATCCCCCTACCTTAAGGGATTTAAAAGTGAGTGACAAGCCATTTTAAAAAATATGATACATGTATCTTTTTTCTTTTTCGTATAAGACATTTACCTCTGTAACTTATATTCCAGTTCATTTTATTGAAACTGACAAAAACAACTGCATGTTCTTTAGTAGCAAACCATTTCTAAGGAAAATTGACATCTTCAAAAGCTACCGTGGTTCAGATGGACAAACACAAACACCTGGCCAGGTGGTCAGGTTAAACTAGGGCTTTATATCAGTAAGGTTAAAAGTACTGTCCTTAAAAAAATTTTTTTTAAATTGTATCTTAAAACATGAATAAAATGAAAAATGTTGATAAAGTTTGAAAGAGATTTGATCCATTTATTTTCTATCACAAAACAAAATGAACACTAAAAGTTCCTAATAAAAAGACTCATCATCCTAGATTATACCCTAAGAAATAATCATTCATTGCTATAGGAAGAGATGGTATTGCTTTACATGAAGGTAAAGGGAGTAAGAAGAAAGAGAAGGAACTGGGCCAACCAAGAAAACTCCATCCTCATATATTGCAATTTCTGAAGCCACAGAGAAATCATGCCAAGCGATGGCAATTTTCAATTATTTATATGTTTACTCTGGGTCTTTATGACCCTGGTAGAATTACAAAGCTCACATTTATACAGATAACATTTTTCTTAAATGGGTTTTATAACTTCTTTAGGAAATTTCAGCTTTTGCAACCATCGCTATCAGACATGAGGATCTTTAATTTTTGCCAAACATTCCACATTTTAACATCTGGTTCTTTTAGGCAATAATAAAGGGAAAATCATTCTTATTTAACATGGGTTAAATAGCTATCTTTTATTTTTAAAAATCTATCTAGTTTCGTATTTCCATTTTAGCAGGGGACTTTAACGTTTTACTGAAACAAGGCTGTCTAGATTTTGTATTTAGCCTAGTTATATTAAAAAATAGATTTTAGGAATCAATGTGCCACTTAGGCTTATTCTGAATGAAACCCCTAAAGGTTAAACGTACAAACTATGTATGGGTTGGGGGCAGTGTCCTGGATTAGTTTCCAATTGCTCCCTTAACAGAGTATCACAAAATTAGTGGCTTAAAACAATATAAATTCATTATCTTATACGTCTGTAGGTCAGAAGCCTAACATGGGTCTCACAAAGGTAAAGTCAAGATGCTGGCAGGGCTGCATCCTTTTGTGGAGGCTCTGGGATAATGAATTTCCTTGCTTTTCCAGCTCCTTGAGGCTGCTCACAATCCTTGCCTCGTGGTCCCCTTCAAAATCTAGCAACCTTCTTCTCTCTCCCTTCTTCATAGTCACATCACCCTCTCACCACAGCCAGGAAAGGTGCTCTGCTTTTAATAACTAATGTGATTAGACTGGGCCCATACAGATAATGCAGGGTCAAAGTGAGTTAATAAACATCCCTAACTATATACATCCAGTTGACCCATCTCAAGGTCAGCTGATTCAACCTTAACTGCATCTACAACTTTAATTCCTTTTCCTTTTTGCTGGGTAAGGTAGTGTATTCACAGGTTTCAGAAATGAGTTCATAGACATCTCTGAGGGGAACATTAATTGTTTTCCACTGGCAGGGAGAGTGGGCGTCTTATCCTGGGTCCACTGACCCTCCAAAGGTTTTGTAGATGGGTTTCAGGGACTTCAGAAAGGGATATATATCTATGAATCCCCTGAGGCTGTATTTGCAAGGGTATACATATTTGAGCAGGAACACATTTTTCAAAAAAAAGAGCCCATGACTTTAATCATATTCTTAAAGGTGTATGTGGCCGGAAAGAATTGAAAAACCGCTGTTTTAAGCAGCAGCACCATTGGTATAGTTTTCAAATAATCTCGTTTTTTGAAAAACAGTATCTACTTTATAAAGAGTTTGGTGCTCTTGTTAGAAAAGCTGGTTTCACTAAAATAGCAGTCAATCCTTC